TGTAACAAATCCTCATCCTAAAATATCCCTCCCTTGACACTGGGCTTTCTCATGATGGCACAGCCTCTTGACCACCAGTCTCACGCAGATGTTGCATATAATTAGTATAGGTTTTCTACTTCCATTGCTTCATCTCCCAATGCACTTGTTTAATTTTTCCTGTCACCATTTTTCTGAAAATGCTTTTGATAGGGGGAAAGGATGTCCCGAGCAAACTCCATACAGGCTTTGTGGACTCCACCGCCACTCCATCAGGACATTGGGAACTACAAATCCCATGATCACCAAAGGGAAGGTTGCGAGTACCTCAGGGTGGAGTTAAGCAGTCATGTTTTTCTGTTTGGAGATATAACCAGCCACATGAGTGGGAGTGGCCCTCTTGGCCACATGGCACCTGGTTTTTCACCAGCTTGGCAGGTCATTGGGATTCCAGGTCAGCGGAACGGGTAGGATGCATTTATGAAATTATCTCCCTCTTTTTCTCCCTGAGTTATTCATTTCCTCATTTCCCCTTCCCTTGTAAATAAACCTTCTATTAACCTTTTGTGTGTCCCTGCAGCTTAGCATTAACAATAACTCCCCTTTAAGCATGTGGGTGAGGATCCACAGTAAGGCAACCCGTTTCATACTAGGGTTGCCCTGTAACATTTTCACTCAGATTTCAGGCCCCGCCCTAGACTGAACCTAGTGGACATTGTTCAGTCCTTACCTTTTTTGAGTTCTCTATTGTATTTGACGGCATTGGCCAGTCCTTTCTTCTCGATATCTTGTATTTCCTTGGCTTCTAGGATGAAACAATTTTCTTCACATTTCTATCTTTTCCTTACTGCATCCTTTGTACCTGGATTCTATCCTTAACACACTGTTCCCCTCCTTTTACATCCTTCCCATGAATGAGCTCATCCACGCTCATGCCTCAACGGGCACCTTTGATCTGTGGGCTTCAGAATCTTGATATCCATGCCGGACCTTCCCATAGCTGCAGACTCAGACATCCAACTGCCTATCAGACGTCACACTGATTCTTTCTAGGCACTTCACATTCAGCATGTCCAAAACTGAACCACTACTACCACCCCTACTCCATCAGATCTTCCTTCTGTATATTCTAGTTCATTGGGTACCACCACCACCTGCCCAACCACTTGTTAGAAACTCTGTTCTTCCCTCTCCTTGATTGCTCCCTTTAAAAAAAAAAAAAAAGACATTTATTGTGTGACTGCTTTGAAATCCATAAGATAACTGTAAGTTATAACAGTGCCCTCTTGGGTTTAGATGTTCCTTCACAGAATCCCCGCCCGAATCTGCAGTACAGAATTTTTAGGTACCTCGTTCGACCAGACCTGGTGGTAGTTTGTTTTAGCCTTGGCATTCCAGTTCCAGTTCCACTTTCTCTTCTGCTTGGCAGGCAGCCACGTGTGCTGCAGGTCGACTGCTGAAGTTGGTGGAAGCCTTTGAGCCATAGGAAAGACGGAATTTAGTCTACACTACTGCCACAGCAGTTTTCATTTCTTATCCTTTGAAAATTACGTCTGGGAGAGTCTATCAGCTTGGCATTTTTAATACTTAGGTCTGTGGTAATGTCTATGATTTTACTCAATTCTACTAGACTTTTAAAATATTAACCTCAAGATACTTCCTTCTCTAGTAATCCTTCTCTGTTCATAGCAGAGTATCTCTAAGGACACTGATTTATGCTCAGCTGCATATTAATCATGTCACAATAGATTACAACATGACGAACAGTGGAACTCAAAGGAGCATCTGAATGGACATGCATCTAAAGTAGTGATAATTATAGTGACCCTTTTCTAAAGAGAAATTCAGCAATCTCTCTTTTGCAATTCTGAAGTATAATCCATAGATGTGTAAGCTGCATAATTAAAAGAAACCCCATCGTAAGGAAGAAACCAAACGAGAGCAATTGAAAATTATTCACATTCTGATGTGTAGATTCTCAAGCATACCTCCCTGAAGACAAGAGTAACCAAACACACAGCCCACATGCACACCAGTGTGCCTCGCTGGGGACTCAGGTGCCACAAGTGGCATTACCTTTAGCGACCTGATGCTGCAAAATGGTAAAAAAAACCTTGGTAAAGTTCTGAAGAAAATGAAGTACAGTCTTCCTTTGATTTATATGGTAGTGCATTCCTGGAAAATTCAGTGTATATTCTAACCTAGCCAAAATACGACTCATGTTATTCTTTCCTGAGTTGCTTGAGCCAATGTTTATTTATTTTTTTTCCTTAGAAAAGCTTTTACAGCTACAGATTTTCCTGAGCTCAGTTGTAGTCATATTTCATAGATTGATTGCTTCATTGTTGTTTGCTGAATAATCTGAAATTTCATTTTTATTTTAATGATCAGATTACTTTAAAATTTTTAAAAATTTTCTAGGAGGTCTTTTTAATTTTATTGGACTGTGGTCATAAAACATAATTTTAAGTATTTAAATATTTCAAAACGTAATGAGGTTCTCCTTGTGGCCTACCTCAGGACTTTGAAGAACTCTTGAACACAGTAATCTGTTCACCGGACAAAGCATGGCTATGAGATCAAACAGGAATTAGGGTATTTGGTCCTTCTATACTCATTCTTCAGGGTCTACCAAAAGTGTCTTAAAAATTACCAAAAATGTAATTTTGTTGATGGTAATTGAAAGTGAATCCTGGCCGTGATCTGAGTTGTTCATGAATACTGCTTTTAATTAGAAGTGTTTTAAGCAGAGAAAAACAAAACAAACAAACAAACACCAACAATTTAACAGTGATAATCCATCAGGATATTTTTTCCAGCTTTATTGAGATAACTGACATAAAAGATATGTTGTAGGTACATAGTGATGATTTGATAAATGTATATATTGCACAATATTTATCACATGTTAATTAAGAGCTCTGTCATCTCACATAGTTACTGGTTTTTGGCTAATATGATATCTACTCTCATAGCAACTTTCAAGTATTTAAAGTAGCACTATTAGTCATTACTCTAGACACTGAAAATTCATTCACCTCGTATCTAGAAGTTGGCACCCTCTGACCAACATCTCCCCATTTCCCCACCTCTCAGCCCCTAGTAACTACCATCCTACTATTTCTAGTTCAGCATTTTTAAGTTCCACATGTGAGAACACACAGTATTTATTATTCTTTGTCTGACTTACTTCAATTAGCATAGTGCCCCTAAGGCCCACACGTTTTCCCCAGATAAAATTTCCCTTGTTTTGTGGCTGAGTAAATTACATTCCATTATTAATTTAATAAATGACATTGTGCACACTGACACAGAGGAATATTATTTAGCCATAAAGTAAAAAATGTGTCCTTCACTTTTTGGGGGTGGGGGGCGGGAGGGGAGGGATTGGGGTCAGAATGGGGGGTTTGCAATTGTATGGGGGAATATAAAAATAAAATTTATTATTTAAAAAAAAAAACCCACAAAAAAAAATTTTTTAGCTATCAGAATCCAACAATGTATCCATAAGATAATTCACCACAACCAAGTAGGATTCATTCCAGGGACACAAGGATGGTTTACCATCCGAAAATCAATCAACATGATCAAACACATCAACAAAAAGAAATATAAAAACCATATGATAATATCAATAGATGCTGAGAAAGCTTTCGACAAAGTACAATACCCATTCATAAAAAAAAAAAAATGTGTCCTTACTATCCTCTGGTTTAGGGTCAGGATTATGGTTGTCATGTAGGAAAGCCTCACATTCAAGCATCTCCAATAGAAGAATGGGGGAGGGTCATCAAAGAAAGTTTCAACTCACGTAGTTTTAATTTTAAATCAGTGAAACAGTATTTTTCTTATAGCTCTTCCAATGGAAATTACATGGCATTAGGTAGTGTGATCAATTTAGATCTGTCCTGCAAAGAGGAGATTGTCAACATTGACTTAGACAAATTATGATCCAATAGTAAGGATGGGACTCAGGATAAACAAAATTGCCTATTAGTGCCATATGCTTCTGATACTAGCCAATGTTTAAAGATTAACCTACTCATGCAAGAATAGACACATCAAGTTGTATCTGAGGAAACTCTTTGTAAACCATATATGCAGAAAAAAGAATTAACAATCATTCCCCTAATTACCAAATCTTACCTGTTTCTGGCTTTGGCTCAAGTTCTAACACCAGGAAACACAACACAGTGAAACAGCATGGAGTGGAGGAAACCAGACCAAGAGTCAAACTCTGATTGCAGTACTTAATCACCTTGGCAAGATACTTAAGCCCTGTCCTCAGTTTTCTCTATTGTAAAATATGAAGGTACTATCTTTCATATAAGACAGTTGTAAAGTTAAATGTGGTAATATGTGGAAATCACACAGATATTTGATAATTAGTAAGTACATACTGCTCTGACAGTGATTAAGCTCATATAGGCACGTGCATATTAATTTAGATGTTATAAAAGCAAAATATATCCTGTCCTCAGAAGCTCAACTGTACCTGAGCAAGAATTGGGAAAGAAAGCGTGGTAGAAGAAAAGGCATTAATACAATGAAGGGACATTTCTTTCACAATATATTGCATATTAATTTAGATGTTATAAAAGCAAAATATATCCTGTCCTCAGAAGCTCAACTGTACCTGAGCAAGAATTGGGAAAGAAAGCGTGGTAGGAAAAAGGCATCAATACAATTAAGGGACATTTCTTTCACAATATATTGCATTTGGTGGCTAAAAGTAAAAATTGGTTTGCACTCCTATTGAGGAAATACATCCATGCCACTGTATTTCTCGACAGCTTTAAATGACTACACTGTATGGGAAGAGAAAGACTACTGAATTCCAGCTGTTTGAGAACCTTGATGAAACCAATGAATGAAACAAATACAAAATGTACATTTAGACAGAGCAAGTTCAAATAAATCACTAGGTATCAGTAGAAAGCAGGATTTGTTCTACCATGGTAAATGGTGTAACAGATATCTATGTACAAAAAAAATTTTCAAGACATAATTTGAAGATACTTTATTATGAGCAAAGGTTTCCTATTACATGTATTTATAAATTCTTACTAGTCAAAAAGAAAATAAATAAAATGTATATCCTCAGGAAGCTTTTCATGACAGTTTTTTAAATCTGAGAAGTTTACATGTTTGTTGATTTTAAGTAATTACAATTTAGGTACATTGAATCATTACACAATGACAGGGAAGTCAGCCTTAAAGAGCTCAAGGACATCTATATCAATAAGCAAAACAGTGGTAAGAAATTTTATTTTTAGCTGACTATAACTTGTTATTCATGGAAAGACAGAATTCCTTTCTTGATCATTAATTTTAAATACATGTACTGAAAACAACATTCCCCCCTACTCTCTTCTCTCAAATAGACACTGTATTGGGAGGAGGCTGTTCAAAGAACTAGCACAGTGAAGTACATACAGAGCTTATCTTGCTGGAAAAGGAGGCTGGGAGGTGAAGAACGTACAGAATGAAGGGTCCTTTGCTACAATTACCAACACGCTCTTGGAGTTAGCCTACCTTATTAAATTTTAACCAAATCTGTCTTTCTAACATCAAGCATCAAGATGGCCACATAAAAGTCACTGCAATTCCATGTATGCTACCTGATAAAAGATTTCTCAAATTGCCAAAGTGCCTCCTTCCTTTTTTAATGGAAAATTATTGTGCAGCTCTAGCCTAGAGAGGGAGAAAGGTGTGGAATTTTTTAACACCCCCATCACCACGACCAGCAAGAAAAAGGGCTGTTTGACCACTTTCCACTATTCCTACAAGTAAAGAATTTAGGCAGTTATTTGCAAATGAAAAAAAAAAATCAATGTAGATTCTTCAAAACAAAGAATTTAGAATGCCTAAATTATTCAGATGTGCCTTAATTATTTTACATTTCCCATTATAAGAAGTTCCAATTTTAGGTAATTTTAGTCAGTGTTCAAAGAGGAGAATATTCTTCCCAAACCATCTATGTAAGACTTACAGTTTCTTAGACCAGCCACACAACTTACAAGCTTCTGTATCAGCTATGACAATCCTTCTCCTCCCCAACTTTTAAAAAACTAAAAGGCTTACTGTTTGGTTAATAGACTTAAAACTCATTTGGATTATGTTGTTAAGCAGTATTAAGTCAGATTATCTATTTTTGTTTATCAAGCCATGAAAGTCATTTTTGTCTCCATCACACAGGAACTCCAGTGGCTAGTGCTATCAAATGTGCAGTGCATGTAATACATGTGTGCACCTTTCTGTGTACAAATAAAAGTCAAGTATTTACATGGAATGTTGACCCTGACTTAAAAAAACTACTTTTTTAAATTATGACACTTTTACATATAATCAATTTATGTTATGAAGAGCCCCATTTGATAATTAAAAAAATATGCCTTTTCAAATATTTCATAAATATATAAAATTTCACTACATTCTATTTTTTTCTTTAAACATAACATCTAAACTCTCCTTACAAATCAACAAAAAATAATCTTTTTTGTTTGCAACTCACAGATGCAATGATTCGGATTGGCAAGTCTTACAACATGCAAGAACGGCAGGACATCTTATACAACTTATAGACATTTCTAGTATTTTGAACTATATAATTTGCTTGCTAACAATCTGTAGTATCAAAGAAAACTGACAGATCCCATGTAAATATTTACATTGTAAGAATCCTTGTTAAACTTCTTTAAAAATGGTAAGTTTACAATGGTATCTGGTCAATTTTAAGAACTGTTTGGAAGGTGAAAAGTAAATTAAGCTTATATGAAAAGTTTTCTAAAATACATCTTGGTGTAACTTAAATATATGGTGACCAGTTTGCACATATTTGAAAAATGATCACATTTTCCATAACTGTATCAGTAATTTTTAGAATAGGAATCACATTTTTATAGTTTAGTGGGAAATTCAGTTAGCTAAAATCAAAAACTTTTTGGTGACACCAGAGGTGTCATATGAGGATTTACAAATAAAAATGTCCTTTGTAATCATTACTTGCTCCAAGATAGCGCCATTCTCACTAAATCTGACACAGTCAGGAAAGATTTTTCGGTAGATAGATACTATTTTTTTTTAAGTCTACTTCCCTTATTAAATATGTGTTGAGTAACAGTTAAGTATTCATAAGGTCTTCTCAAGCTATTCCATGAAGACCACTCATACTAAAGCAAGTTTTCAGGAATTTCTGTAAGGTTTTTAAATGCACACACCATGAGCATTATGTATGCATAAGAAGGCTGCACTTTTAGAACAGAAAGAGGATTCTTCCTTAGTCTATGATGATCCACCCAGAAAACAGCTTTCTAAGCAAAGTTGTTCTAGGCTGCCAAGCTAATACCTACAACCACTAATATACAAACTTGATGGCAGATGTCTGAGACCAGTGGAAGTACTGAATTCCAGTATATATTCTCTAGCTCGCTCTCTCTCACTTCATCTTGGAGAAAGACTACACACTAAAGACAACCAGAAGGTTTAATGCTCTGATCAGAATACAGTGCAGGGCAAATTCTGATTTTGGATCTAATACTCAAATGCTGTATTTGATATAAGACTGTAAAAAGTTACAAACAAAACCAACATTCAATTTTAACAGATTGCACATCTCTTGACTATGATGTAGATTAAAAAAAAACCCAACCACCAAAATGGAAATAGATTTAATCATGCACTCTGCAAAAAAGATGATTACAGAAACTTTCCTTAGTTATGAATGTAACCAGCTCACCGGAACCCAATGGGTATCTGTCTCTAATTTGTCAAATGTTGTTTTTAGCTCATTGAATGCCACGGTGAGATCATCATTTATTATAACTTTGTCAAAAAGATGACCATACTGGTTTTCCATTATCTGTGCAGATTTAATCATTTCTTGAAAATCTTCCTCCTGACAAAACAAAGCATTTTAAAAAACATTGGTTAACCAGGCAGTTCCATCACTTCACATCAATGCCAACATTACACAACTGGTCTGCCTAACATTGTGCTGTGTTCATTCATTCACCTCAGACAGAACTGGAAATTACCCTCCTTAACTACAAGTTCACTAGAAGTCATAATCCCCACCTGACAAGAACTTCAGGATAGTCAACCAGTTTACTGTATTTCAGTATTAAAATAGCTATGGGGGGAAAGAGGACAGGGCTGTTTACTCGGATCCCTTGGTTACATTATTTATGACTATTCACAGCAAGAAACTGAGAATGCGAAGTAGCTGTTCAGAGTTGAGTACAGTCATAAAAGCACAGTTCCATGTCCTCTCCGCATATCAGAAGTGGCTCAGGGCTCCTTTACACTCAACATTTTTGAAACCAGGAAGCATTTTAGTTTGTTGCAAGATTTAAGAATATGTGATCATATACGTTAAGTGTCGGTGAGTCAAACCCTGAGAATGTTACCATTAGCTTCACTAAAAAACCTTTAAATTTATAGATATTAAAATAAATCTTTACCCTGAAACATACTGAAACCATTTCAGAGTCCACATTTCAATGTCGCAGGAGATTTCACAAGAGAAAATTAACTTCACTGTCAATCAAAAGACTTTAGTAATTAATATCACGTGACAATACCTGCTCAGTGTGGATATGAATCATCGGTATTTTAGAAAAAAGGTATTTATCAAATATTGGCAATCAAAACTAATCTGCTTTATAATTACAACCAATCACTTACAAATTAAAGATGAGTTAATCAAGAGGAGTGAGGAAAAAGCTCTTGACATTTCTTTGCTTTTGATTTTTGATCTAAAAGCAAAGTATACCTAAGTTTAAAAACAGAAAAAAATGAAAAACCTTACCAAAATTATTATACTCATTAATCTACCAATTGCCATTTCTAATAAATACAAATACTATTGTTGAATAATAATATGAGTCTACTTGTCCTATACCTAAAATGGTACTTTTTATTTTACTATGCTAAATATAATTATTGATGCAATGAGACAAAATAAGGCAAATTATTAAGTTTTTCATTTTGACTATTAGTAACAGTAATTTCTCCCTTTAAAAAATAAGGCTAGTCTGAAAATTAATTGGTCTCATATTGATGTAAGTCTGTATAATGGCATAGGAAATAGCTTTCAATCAATGCAATACAGAGATGCACAAAAAGCAATTACAGGGCACTCCCTGGGATGTATGTACCTAAATCCAATTCTCTCTTTTAAGAACTTCTGGACCCACATTCATATGTCACAGATTTCCTATGGTAGCTGCTCCTGCATTTGTGCTTAAGCACCACTTCTCTCTTATCCCCAGGCAGCATCATACTTACTGTAAAGGGTTTTGCAGCTGCTTGTTCATCTCTGCTAGAAATAATCTTTGCATTTTTTCTAGTCTCCCTCAAACGCTCGATTGATGGAGGCTTTATAAATATCACGTAGGGCTTAAATTCTAGTGTCCTTAAATGTTTCACTGTCTGCAAGGAAGAAAATAAAGTTTCATTATATTTCTTCATAATGTCATAAGTGAGTTTCATAATAAAACTGACTTTTCTTTTTTCTTTTTAAAGATTTATTTATTTATGCATACAATAACTGGGGTACAGGTCAGAGGTGTGGGGGGTGAGAGGATTCACCAGAGAAAAAGTGGGGAGCAGAACAGGCAGACTGACTGAAATACACTGCCAAGGGGAGCAGCAGGAAAAACAGGAGAGGTCTGCTGTGCCAAAAACTGACTTTTCTTTTTTTTTTTTTTAAAAAGATTTATTTATTTTATTTATACAAGCACTGGGTACAGTTACAAGCGCGGGAGGGTGAGAGAATTCACCAGAGCCAGAGTGGGGAGCAGAACAGGCAGAAGGACCGAGGTACACTGCTGAGGGGAGCAGCGGGTGGCAGGAGAGGTCTGCACGCCATGTGGGACCCTCGCCCAGCAGCCGGGGATCGAACCGGTCCGGGGATCGAACCGGTGCTGCAGAGGCTGCGGGCAGCTTCGCAGCCCAGCGCTCAACCGCTGCGCCACCAGGGGAGGCCCTGACTTTTCTTTCTAAGGAGAAAATTTCTTAAAATTACTTTCAAATTAAGGGCAGTCGGTAGGTCTTTGAATATATTATTCAATCAGTTGTTGACAATTAAATATAATAAATCCCCCTCAAGAGAGGATGGAAAATTAACTTACTTTAAAAAAGTGTTTTGAAATATGTCATATTTAATATTGAACAGAAGTGGCTAAATACACCACAAAATTGATTTTTAAATCAAATACTCAAAAGATGCTATAGATTAACTGCACATAAGTCTTCTGGCCACCCCAGCCTCATTCTGATCACAAGCATGTGCTGTTCTTTTTTTCATTCTACCCTCAGCCTCTTGCTTTCCACGAAGCTTGTCAGCATTTCTACATCCAATGGTTTATGTTATTTACACTATACTTCTGGGGACACATCTATAATCAATGGTGGCTGACAACAGAGGGTGAGAGTTGAAGGCTATTCTTGATCTGTGAGTCAGGACCTCTCCAGAATATGAATGTAAATCATAAACTCCATTGAAAGGCTAGGCGGACAGGTTATGTGAGAGAGAGATGTATAGGGTGTTAGGGGTGGGGTAAGGGATGGAGGAGCTGGTGAGGCCCTGCTAATATAAACTTTCCACCACACTGAGGGAGTCAGGAACAACCAGACCCAGTACACCAGAGGGGAGGTTCTTCCAAGGAGAAGTGGCCCACACATGGCTGGGTCTCAGCTAGGAGGCAGTTGCCCTCCTGGTTTTTAGGACTTTTACTCCAGATTTATCTTCCCTAAGAGGTATGAAGGTGTTCTCCAGGTCATTCTGGTACCTGGAGGTTGTGCACATTAGGGTACAGCCCTTAGATGGAGAATCTGTGGCCCCAGAGTGACAAGAAAATGCTGATTTGAATTTCTGCTGGAGAAATTGTGGTGTGACAGGGAACTGAATGACTTTCTCCACTCTCACTTTCAGAGTTCATAGAAGTCCCCAGGGTGCCTGCCAGGCAGTGCAACCTGGCAGCTAAGATAGGACCTCATGTGGGCCAGTTTCAGTGAATGGCCTGCAGCTTTATTTATTTATTTATAGATTTATTTTTTATTTACGCAATAGCTGGGGTACAGGCCAGAGGCACAGGAGGGTGAAAGGATTTACCAGAGACAGAGTGGGGAGCAGAACAGACAGACAGACAGAAAGCACTGCTGAGGGGAGCAGTGGGGAGACAGGAGAGGTCTGCCACGCCATGTGGGAATCTTCCTGGCCAGCCGGGAATTGAACCAACGATGCAGAGGCTGCGGACAGCTTCACAGCGCTGTGTTCAACCCGCTGTGCCACCTGGGCAGCCCTTTATTTATTTTTTTAAAAAGATTTATTTATGCATACAAGAACTAGGGTACGGCCAGAGTTGCTGGGGGTGGGTGACGGTGAGAGGATTCACCTGAGACAGAGCGGGGAGCAGAACAGGTGGATCTACTGAAATACACTGCTGAGGGGAGCAGTGGGCAAGACAGGAGAGGTCTGCTGCACCATATGGGTCACCTCCCTGGCCGGGGATGGAACTCATGCTGCAGTAGTTGCAGAATCCTTCATAGTACAGACACTTAACTATTTGCGCCACCAGGAAGGCCCCATGCCTGCAGCTTTATTTGAGGGGTTATACTCCCAGGATATACACAGAACCAAAATCGAAGGAGGAGGACCAAGAACCAAATGTCCATTGTTAAAAATTAGAAATACTGGGCCTCCCCGGTGGCGCAGAGGTTGAGCTCTGGGTTGTGAAGCTGCCCGCAGCCTCTGCAGCACTGGTTCGATCCCTGGCCACTGGCGAGGGTCCCACAAGGCACAGCACACCTCTCCTGCTGCGCCCGCTGCTCCCCTGAGCAGTGTTATTTCGCTGTTCTGCCTGTTCTGTTCCCAGCTCTGGCTCTGGTGAATTCACTCACCCTCCCGCGCTTCTGACTATACCCAGTATTTGTATAAATAAATAAATAAATAAATAAATCTTTTAAAAAAGTTAGAAACATTTATAATGACATCACATGTAAGAATACATTATACACACAATGCAATGTCTTTAAAAAACTGCATAGAAGAAAAGGCTATTGTTGGTAGTAACAGAATATAATAGTTACAAACAGGTCTCTATACTTCTAATCCTTTTCTAATATTATGAGCTTTTTATTCACCTAAGTTGTCTCTGGTTGTATTGAAATGTTTTTGTCATCTTAGGAAAACCATATATAAGCCAAAAGAAAGTAGACTTCAAATTTACCCGATGTTAAAAGGCTCACAAGAAGTATAGTAAATTACACAGGCCAGGAGGGTATTGAATAGTGCATAGTTTACTTACATGAGGCTGAACATCCAACAAACAAACTTTATTTTTAGCTAGGACAGACCGAACTGAGTCTATACTAGTGCCGTAGTAGTTGTTTTTATATTCACCATATTCAATAAACCTGCAGAAAATTAGGCATGCATCAGAATTATCTGTGAATTAAATATATAGATATGCAGGACATAATTCATATATATGAAAAATATTTTGCTGAACATGTAATTTTTCACCATCTAGTAAAGTAAGTAGGGCCAAGTACTCTAGAATGTCAATTTTAAAAAATCTTCTATTTTACATTCTCAAATCAGTAACACTTGCTTGTATTACAGTTAAGCAGAAAAATGTACTTTAGTCCAGCAGGACTCTAATGTTTTCCATCACCTCTTTTTCAGAACTAATGCAATGCAATAAAAAGTGAATAAGCCAAACAATAGAAACTACTGAAATTTCACTGCACACTACAGAATAACCAAGTGCAGCTTTAGAACTACAGGAGGAGCTGGGTGGTGGCTAATGGAACCAAGGCAGCCGATTATGTGCTATAAAAATGCAATCACTGCGCCAAACTTGAAAAAAGCATTTTGATGTTTCAATAAAATCCCACAATCCTGTATTAAAACATGCATTGCTCCCTGACACTCTAAAATATTCATGCTTCAGCAAATGGAAAACCTGGGGAGAGGGGATTGAGAGCTAGCTAGAGAACTATTTTGCAAGCCAGATGATTAACATTATTCATTTTATAAAAAAGCCAATGAGAGACGGATGTGTGTTTGTGTGTTTGTGTGCGTGTGTGTGTGTGTGTGTGTGTGTCTAAGACTGTGGAAGTAGGATCTGTTACAAAGTTGTTAATGTTTAAAATAATAGTCTACCCAAATTATATGTTAAGAATCAATTATGGGGTGGAAAAAGGTCAAAATAATACACTACCCACTGTCCCACATTCTTCAGAATAATTCCTAAACATTTACTAGAAAAAACAGTTCCAGGTAATTTTAAAAATTACAGGACAATATTGCTAATTGAATTATCACCTTTTATCAGTTTCAATAATTATAAAAATTAAAATACATTTCAAATGGAAGGGCTCCCTCCATTATCTAAAGCTAGATATATAAATAACTGCTTGAAAACAACAGTCTCATAAAAATTTTTTAAAAACTTCCACATACTTGTTATTTTGTACATCTGTCTCAAACAAATGCTTGGAAATAAAAATGTATTCAACACCATCACTCTCCTGGCTTCTTCTTGCTCTGGTAGTGTCTGTGATTTAATTAAGAAGAATTCAGAAACATTTACAGCAGCCACCTTAATAAGAACACTAAAAATGAAATCACAATGTATTTTTCTTAAATAAGATCTTAAAACTTACAGAAAAGGAAGTTAGCTAATGAAATATTGTAAAGTATCATTACTTCATATTTTCCAACAATATTAAAATGATATTGATTTGAAGATGGATTCAAAATTAAGTTGCATTGTGTCTGCTATTCATTATCTTGAAAACTAATATCGTATTTAAATAAAAACAGTATTTAAACTCTTGAGGAAAAACTCCTTTCTTTTGCAAACAACATGCTTACTGTCATGATTGACCAATTTTTATTCAATGAAATAAATCTAGTGCCCACTGGATTCTAGGTAAACTCTAAAAGTACTTCACCATCTCCCTGCATGGCACATAGCAAGCTTGCCATAAAGGTCTTAATGTGCTTGTCATTTCTCCTTTGCAAAATTATAAACATCTTTTTGGAATACTACCAAGTTTCCAAACTTTCAGTAAGTTTGCCTAATTATTTGCTACTGAATTACAATGGAACAGAAAATATAGGACCTGATTATTATCTTATTATGATCAAGCTAAATTACCTCAGTCTGATATAATTTTACTACTGAAGAATGTTAGTATTCAGCTGCAGAGAGATGGCATGAGATTCTCACAAACTCATTAACAGTGAGGAATTCTGAATAAGGAATCTGAAAACTCTTATGAGAAGGAATTCCACGGGAATTATGTGCAGGCTTAGCACAGGCAGGCCTCCCACTGTTAAGAACTCCAGAATCCATCAAGTATCTGGTACCTGTAACAATACTTGTTAACTATTGGGTTGTCTGTTAATTATTTTAATTTACTGAGTGATCCTTTTGAAAATCTAGTTATATATAGTCATTTAGATGCATTGCTGATAGCTTCTAGCCATGAAACAATGCTGATGCTGTTTATCAAGGATGCGATTTCCCCCCAAACACGAAACAGGCAGAAAACATGGGCTTTGGCCACCACTTACTTTCTAAAAAAAATTTTTATTGAAATAAAATGTTGAATATCATATTTTAACCACTGTAACCATTTTTCAAAATTGTTTCCTAGTACTCATTAATTTTTTTTTTTTTGTGGGACCCTCACTGGTGGCCGGGGATTGAACTGGCGCTGCAGAGGCTGCGGGCAGCCTCGCAACCCAGCGCTCAACCGCTGCACCACCAGGGGAGGCCTTCCTAGTACTCATTTCTATATTTTATTTTAGATGTATAATTTTTTTATTGAGGTAACATTGGTTTATAACACTGCTATGATTTAGGGGTATAGGTTCACACACAGCATTCCAGACAGATGTCATCCCACCAGGCCTGACCCTCAAAGAACCATTTACCCACTATCATATTCCAAGGTGCTCCCTGCTCTACCCAAGCCTTCTGGCAGCCTCACTTCAATGCCATACAACTGCAATAGCCCAGTTCTGGATGTTGTCGATTTCTAGAACAACTTCAGAACAAACTATTATTTTAATAGTTGGATGAACTGAAGACAAAAAAAATACCTTGCCGTCGGTCCTTGCATTCTGATAAACAACCCTCTCACAGAGGGTTCTGATAAACAATCTTACTAATACTGACCATCTTCAAAAGAAATTGATTTTTTACTACTAGTAAGCTATAATAAAGAGAATCTATAATTTGAAAGAACTGTGGCGTGTTCTACAGAAGCAAGAACAAGAAAGTCAGTATCATAAAACCTGGTTTCAAATCCACAGGTGACTGTCACCTACTGAACTCTGAGTAGGTCACCCATCCCTCCTACCCCATCTCCTTCTGTGTGAAAGGGAGGTATCTCCCATCTTACACTATGGAAAGGAAGATGAAGTAAGTTATGACAAATAAAGGTAATAAATACCCCAAAATTAATGTTTTTCCACTATAATCTGTTTTTCCATCCTCAAGGTTTCTTTTGTAATTGCTCACCTGTGAGCTTAACAATTGTTTTGTAAAACTTTCTAATTACCTATAGATTGAAGTTGTAAGAGAAGTGAATCATTAAAGAAAAAAAGAATGAAAAACTAATCACACATTTCCACATTTTCCTTTACTTTCATCTCTGCTGGTGGAAACCAGCAGTGCTCTAATGTATGGCTGAAAATGATTACAAACAATAATTTGGAAAAATGTAGTAACAAGGAGTAACTTGAGGTAATAGAAAGCTATAATCTTAAAATAAAGTTGAAATCTTCCAAAGCTGGAGAACATTGCTAAGGGCAATACACAAACGACTTTAACAAGTACTAAAACCACTTGAAAAAGCCAACATTTCAATTTAGTCTTTTAGATGACTTTCTAACATCAACATATTAAGTAGTCAAATGGCATTTATTCTGGAGATCAAAATGCTTCCAGCATCTCATTTCATTTGTAAGAATGCCTGTGAAAACCACTTTTATAAAAATAGAATCTAATTCTGTGTACTGAAGAAACCTACCGTACTTGGATTATATGGCCGTGAAAGGACCAGTTAACACTACCTGCCAATTACTACATATAAAAAGTAATTAAGAAAAGTTTATACTGTAAGTAGTCCCCTCCACTTCTCTGTGGTTTGGTTCGTTTCATCTTAAAGCTGGTGGAAAACTCTGGAAAACATTAACACTTATTTTAGGAAATAGAATAGTTTTACTTTTATTAGAAGAAAATTTGTAAATAACAATTTGATGCCATCTGTGTGCTGAAATTTGCCGTTGAGAATGTGAGAGTAGGGATGTTGTGATGAACAAATATTGGGTCGATGATTTGTGTCATCTAGAGCAAATCTCCTAATGCTCAGGCCTTGGTTTCTTTCCCTGTGATATGCAGATAATATCACTTTACTTCTTGGGCTGCAGGAAGGCTAGGAATGCTGCACTATTCAAGTGCAGTTGAAGAGAACTTACGGGGCACGGTCACACCATAGTGCTGCGTGTCACTGATCAGGAGCCTGCGCTTCAGTTCATTCAAACCCACTCCTACGGGACCTGAAAAACAGGAGAGCAGAAATCCATGACTAACCAAACACCATACAAGCATTTCTGTAAGAGATATGACTCCATAAGACAGAGAACACACATCCGTCTCTGGAAGCCAAGTGAAAAAGATTGTCTGTAGTTAAACTGAATGTAAGAAAAAGCTAGGGGTTCTTCTGTTGCTGTTTTAATTTTTCAGTTTAAATCCCCACCTCTCCATTAAAAGGGTTAGAAATATTTATGTTTCAAATGAAATGTACTCAAGTGTATCTGAGTACGTTACCTAGCAATAGTATTCAGAGAGCTTAAAGAGTAGGTGCAGCTAAAAAACCTTAATTACAAGTCTGGAGAGTCATAATATTCCATGTTAAATGTTTTTAGATCTTAATAAAGGAAAGCCTCTGAACCCCAATTTTACTTTAGATGGAAATCTAATTATGTATTTTAAATATTCAAAATCATTAGCCACATTTATATTTGCCAAGATCCTTTCCTACACTGTATATTTTCCCTTGCTCCTTAAGTATTTGAAAGCTTGCATAAACCTTACATATTTAAACCAATCAACCCATACATCCAAAACACCTATAATGATCAAGGCATATATGGAGTAAATGCTGTGAAGAATTAAAGATTGGAGAATTCTGCTTTCAAGGAAAATAACTGGATCATTCAAAGACTGGGAACGAAAAACAGATTCAAATGAAAAATTAAATGCACATAAGCCCTCAAGTGGTCAACTTTTCACAAGCTGCCATCAGAGGCCACTGGGTGGAGCATAAGTTCTCAGCCTAGTCTGTGCTGAGCTGGGCTCCCATCTTCATAACCCTCACCTGGTGACATTGGCTGCTGTGGTCTGATTGTGTGTGTCCTGATGAACATGCTGGAATCCTAACACCCAATGTGATGATGTCATTACAAGGTGGGGCCTTTGGGACATGACTAGGGTGGGGGTCGTGAGGGTGGAGTCCTCCAGAATGGGATCACTCCCTAGCCCCTTGACCATGTGAGGGCATACTAAGAAGTCCTCTACCAGGAGAGGGTCTTTACCCCACCATGTTAGTACCTTCTCTTGGGCTTGCAGGCTCCAGAACTGGTTGTTCACTACCACCTGCACTGTCCCACGCTATTGTCAAGTAGCAATGTTCTGGCAACGTCTTTGGCTTTTCTGAAATGTGGTCCTCAACTATGTCTTTTCACAACATTCCATCATACTCCATTTATGTTCTGAAATGGAACTTATTGCTAATAAATGTAACTTAGTAGTAATATAACTCTTCCCTCCAAATTAATATAACGCCCTAGCTGTACTACGGGAAATAGGTAAAAGCAGTTTATAATAAAACTGTATGTAAATGCGTGGGCATGACTAGAGAATGCAATGAAGGAAGGTGTCTGTACCTTACTTAAAATAAGTAAGTCTGGATTTAAAAGTAATAAAAAGACCAGGAAAATCACTCTATACAAGAAAGTAAAATGCCAAAGACACAGTGAACATTAGAGTAAGAACTAATAATTGGATAGAAACCACAGAGTGGACTTACTGGAATATAAGGAAAAGAGAGAAACAGCCTTAACTGGAAAAAAGATAACATGTGAGGAAAATAATGTTTGCCAATGATTTGCACTTTTGCATATAAGAGAACAAATAATTCCCCATGGGATGGGGCAGTGCTTCAGTGTCAAGAAGATAGATATAGATGTCTTATTTTGAAACCACAGTAGGTGTTGAGTCATCTGTTCAGTGCCCAAATGTCTAGCCTTACATTTAGAAGTCATGAGAGATATAGATCAGATTTTTGTCCTGTAGAAATGCCAAATCTGGGGCCTCCCTGGTGGCCTAGAAGTTAAGTCTCAGCACTATCACCGTTGTGGCCTGAGTTTGATCCCTAGCCAGGTAGCTGACCCACATATGGTGCAGCAGATCTCTCCTGTCTCACCCGCTGCTCCCCTCAGCAGTGTATTTCAGTAGGTCCGCCCACTTTGTTCCCCGCTCTGTCTCTGGTGAATGCTCTCACCCCCTATACCTCTGGCCTACACCCCAGTTATTCTAAAAATAAATAAATGAATCTTAAAAAAAGAAATGTCAAATCTACATCTGAGATCCCCTCAGCCACACTGATATTTTAAAAAGGTATCCTCACAAGTGTCCACAACATTCCCCAGTGAACATTCTTCACCACCGATACAGAATCAAACCTAATTTTTTTGACAGGTATATGCAGAATGCATGCAGTGAGCTACAATTTTACCTCCAATCTTTTGTTTTCATCCCTCCTCCTCTGGAATACCCACTCCAGCTGCGAGATTCCCCTGCTTCTTGACGCCTGGCAGGCTCTTTTCTGTGTCTCTGTGTTGTCAGCAAAGACTGCTTGCTTTTGTAGGAACACGCCTGTCCTTCCTCCACATGCTAATTCTTGTGTGCTGTGCAGGGTTCAGCTTAGATTTATCATAGGGAATCGTTCTCAATACCTTATTCGGGTAAAGTGCTGAGTTCAAGAGTTCCCTGTAGTCACATTTCAAAGGACCAGTCACAATGTATTGTAATGCTAAGCTGACTTGCCTCTGTCCTCCAACAGCCGGCACCTGAAAACAGGAATGCCATCTATATGCTCATCAGTTGTTTCCCTAGCTGGAAAATTGTAGGCATGAATTAATTTGTTTTATTTATTTAAATGATTTACGTTATTCTGGAGACACAACTATATGCTGAGTGAAGCAAAGGAGCAGGAGCTAAAGGTAAAAAGTACATGTATCTCGAAGGCCTGGACATGGTGTTAGGTGAGTTCAAAGTCGCTGACAGGAGTTGGGGGAGCTCAAGATTGAACCTGGTTCTCTTGATCTTAAGAGAGAAGAAGGGAAGGTGATGAATTTGCCTCTAGAACCACGAATTTTAGGTATGGAAATGTACCTATCTATAATTTAGACAAGGACTGCGATGTGAGAAAGAAGCCCCGTGAATACAGCCACGCCCAGGTAAAGTCTAGACTGTGAGGAGTGAGATGCCCAGGAGGAAAAGTGAGAGGAGGAAAGTGACAAGCATAAACGTATTGACCATCTGTGACATGCCAAGCACCACACAGGGAGTTATGTACGATATTATCTGAAGGCACAAAATATTCAATTAAGCTCTAAAACTTACTCTTTATAATAACTAGAAAGTAAAGACGAAAAACAAGTGGTATTATGACAAAGCTGTGTTCTCTGTACAAATGAAGCAAACCCAATTATAAATGCTCAAAAAATAGAGACCAAAGCATAAAAAGTCTCAAATGGAAATAGCAGGTGGCACACCAGACCCTTCCCCATGGCCCCTCGGACACAGGATGATGGGAACGCGCAGCTTCTTCCCAGCTTCACCTCAAGGCTCCTCGGCCTCTGCTGAGTCAGAGTCTAGCACCTTTTTCTTTTTTTAATTTCTTCGATAACACACACCAAAAACCCTACAGTGATTCATTTTAATTCTGGCGGAAAAAACAAGTCATTTGAGGTAGTGGGGGAAAGTGTGCCGCCTCTGTGAGATACCATGAAAGTTTTAGACTTTTGATTTCAGCCTCACACACCCTAACGCTCAGCGCCTCGCCTCACTACTCATAGGCAGGGCTTGCCAAGAATGATGAGCTGCAAAGGATTTCACTTAATAGTTTTTCCTAGATTCAGTGGTATCAGTTCATCATCGTCAGTGGTGGAAATATGCTCACGAAAATGTTAAAATAGGGGTACAATTTCAGGCTCTCTGACTACAAAATGTGCCCAGCAAGCCTTCAAACAGCATTTTCCTGACAGGACTCTGGTTCAATTCTGTTATCTCTGAGGGAGAAATTCTAGTTTCTCTTTAGACCTAGACTTACAAGTCAAAATCAAAACTTAGATCCACACTCTTGTCCTGTGTCTTTCTGTCATGGTTAGGTGTAAATTTACAACAATTTTAGTTGGCTGGTTTATATTTAGAATACAAAATCTATTTATACTGAGGTCACTTCAGGGCTGCAAACTGAAGGATTTATTTTTGTGTCTACAAAGGGACAGATACACTTCCATTCAATACATAAATTCTTGCAATTAATGTAATACATAGACATAAATAACTAAAAATAAGCAGGTTACACCACGGTTTATTTACAAACTTGAAATTTTCACTGTTCTATTTTAAGGTTTTCTTAATTGATGAATATGTGTAAGGTTTTATGATTTGTAACAAGGTTTTATGATTTGTAACAAAAATTTATGTATGAAAAAAATACATACTTTTATTAGAGTGTCAGTGTAATATACTTTCAAAATTAATTCATACTTGAAGCACAAAAGTTTTCATTCTGTAAACTATGGCCCCTCAAAAATCTACTTTCTGAATCTGAAACAGTTACAAAAAACTAAAAATAAAAAATGGTAAATGAGCAGACAAAGCACTGAGGCAGTAAGACCAGACAGTGCTTACCCTGGTACTTAAAACTACAAGTGTGCTGGAAAAATGCTTTAAAATACTGATTAATCATATTTTTTTTAAAAAAAGGTTTATAGACATGCTCCATTACGGCACTGTAATTTGAAGCTTCAACCACCTATTTATTTCTGTATTAATGCAAATTCTGAATGAATGAATAATTATTTACTACGATAATAATGTACTGCTACTAAGAAAACAATCTTATTGAAATCAATGAAATACGGTATTTTTTAGTGTCACTTATGTAGTCTACAAAGAATGGACATAATACAATTTTTATTTGTAAATATCTACATAGAATTTATTTGCAACTTAGACTTTGTTCTGAAGGCTAATTAATAAGCATTAAATTTAATTTAATAATATAAATATAGATGGATGGTAATATACACATCAAAAGAAATGCTAAAGATTACTTTGTTATTAATCTGTTAGGCAATAAATTTCTCAGAAAGATACAGGTAGGTGGAGAATAATTACTCAAATTAGTTTTAACATATCATATACTATTATAACATACTATATACTGTAAAACAGTCAAAATGCATGGACAAAATCCATTTTTATTTTAATTTATACCCAATATTAAATCACATATTAAAGAGAAATCTGGTGTACTGACCAAGTACTGTTCAGTTTTGCTATTTATTTTTGTACATTTTGGCACAAACATAAAAATGTTATATTAGGTAGAAAGCTACTGACATGGATGTAGCTTTTACTGCGTGTTTATGTCCAGTGTACCTGTGCTGCTTTACATGAAAATTCTTCCACATTTTCCCCCAGACATTTTTATGATATTGGCCAGACTTGTTTCTCTTACTATCTAGAGGAAATTATCACAATTACTGAAGTCTGCAATAAATATTGAATCTAGATGCAGGACTAAGAAATCAAGTCCTGATTCTTCACCATCTTTATTAGTGATGAAACACTCTTACTTGATTTACTAACACAAATGAAGTCACTATGTATCCCTTGGATCAGACACACATTATAAAAAGTCTAAAAGTCTACTTGCTGTACAAAAGTTTTCGTTGCTAAGCATAAAATAAAAACAACTACGCTATTGTATTTGCCTCAAAATCTTACAATGATCACATTAGTGGATGGCTGAATTTTGGTGCTGGAGAGTGATAAATCTGTTTATAAAACTAAATTTAAAGGCCTCTTGGAATCAAATGACACAGAAAATATAGCACCTTGGCAGTTCATAAGGTGCCCTGGTAGAGGCTAAGATATTTTTTCCCTGTGTCTCTTTCATATGGAAGAAAAATGCTATTAATGAAGCATCCATTTGTATGTTAATGTCAAAAAAAATCAGGAAGTGGGAAATTTGTCAAAAGACTATTTTTCCCTTCCCTAAGCAGTTATTCATACCAAACTTGAATAGACTGACTTAAGCACTCATCTCACCTCCATTTTAGGGCAATACAGAATGTAATAACATTAAAAAATCAAAATAGGGCCTCCCCGGTGGTGCAGCAGTTGAGCGCTGGGTAGCGAAGCTGCCCGCAGCCTCTGCAACGCTGGTTCGATCCCTGACCAGCAGGCGAGGGTCCCACATGGCGTGCAGACCTCTCCTGCCACTCGCTGCTCGCCTCAGCAGTGTACTTCGTCAGTCAGCCTGTTCTGCTCTCCACTCTGGCTCTGGTGAATCCTCTCACCCTCCCGCGCTTCTGACTGTGCCCAGTGCTTGAATAAATAAATCTTTAAAAAAAAAAAATCAAAATGAAATTATCCCTGAGTCTTCCTTAGCTAAGTCTTCCTTCTCAGAGTCTGCTCAAAAATACAATCTTTTCAATGAGGCTACCGTTGATCTGATTTTCTTGAACTGTCCTGCTTTTGCTTTTCCCTGTAGCATTCATAACTCCCTAAAAACTACACAATGATTTTATTATTGATTTATTGTAAACATGCCTCTTGTCTGTCACCTCCTCATTAGCATGTGAACACCATGAGGGAAAGATGTGCTGTTCACTAACAAACCCACCTGCTTAGAACACTGACAGCAGAGTCAGTATTCCATAAAAATCAGCTGAGTGAACATAACTGTGATTTATGCCCAGAAATTAAACCTATAGTATAAACATTTAAGATAGACCAGCAATATAAAACCTCAATTGGGTTTCTAATAAAGATCTTATTTACCTCTTACATACTAGGGTTTAATTTTAAAACCATCATATACTTATCAGTTCAATTCTGATTTTGGGTTTACAGTTGTCTATAAACAATCAGCAAGAGCAGATGCCCATTCTGACCAGCCTTCCATCAAAGTTCAACTAAAGCTCTGGGAATTCTAATAAACACACTAACATTTACATTTAGTTTTCAGTGCTCACTTTTCTCTCTGCTTTCTGTGGGAGACCTTCTGTTCTGCCATGTTTTATGGAAATACGGTGACAGTCATAAATGTCTATTTATTCAAACTACGTCCACAAAGCAGTCCTTCAGCGGCATATAAATTCAGCATAAAGGAGGGAAGAACTTAAATGTTCAAGCTTGAAACATGAATTATACAGAAAGATTTATTGGTAGTTTGCTCTTATGCCCCATAACCAGACAGAACTAGTCACAAAGTCTGAAAAATTGTCTGAAAAAGGTCAATTTTTGCACCTCTATTGACTTTAAAAAGAGTGTCTGAGTAGCTATTTAACACTAACGCTTTCTCTGTTCTCTACCTTTCCTAAACACACACACATTATTGGGCTTTATTTACTTTACTTTTTAAAAAGTCCTGTTTCACTAAAGATAAAACTTCTGCATAACAGTATACTAAATATCTGACATTTGGTTTTTTTTTTTTTTTTAAGATTTATTTATTCATTTATACAAGCACTGGGTACAGTCAGAAGCGCGGGAGGGTGAGAGAATTCGCCAGAGCCAGAGTGGGGAACAGAAACAGGCAGACTGATGAGATACACTGCTGAGGGGAGCAGCGGGCAGCAGGAGAGGTCTACGTGCCATGTGGGACCCTTGCCGGCGGCTAGGGATCAAACCGGCACTGCAGAGGCTACAGGCAGCTTCGCAGACCAGCGCTCAACCACTGCGCCACCAGGGGAGGCCCTGACATTTGGTTTTAACATACATTTTGGAAAATACTTTTAAAAGTGGAAGGGAATCTAAGAAGAGCAGATGCCATTTTCTACCAGCATTCCATCTCCTGAATGTGCATCTCCTTAACATGCACCTATCAGTTTCACAACAAATATCATTATTCCCAGTGGCTTTGAAAACTCTGGGAAAGAACAAACTGAGCTTGAGGAAGACCATGCTGCTTATATTTCTCCCACTCCCTACACTTGTTGTAAGAGCCCAGGAGCTCTTTCCTAAACAGTGATATTTACAATCAGGAAAAGTAAACAGTTAATTTGAAAACAATCCAGAATTTCCAAAATCCAAGTTCACTGTTTGAATACCTCTTTTACATGATAACCTACCTTACAAGTGTTCTGACCACTCAAGTTCAAAATCAGCAGAAGTCAACTTGTATTTGAATATATCAATATCATGATTATCTTCTCAGTATTTTTAGTTACTACATAAGAGCTATCTTTTATTAAAACATTAGTAGGTACCAGGAGTTGGTCTAAGTCTTTGCAAATATCATTTTATTTATCTGTCCAACAACCCTAGAAAGCAGGTGCCCTTAGTGTTTTCTGCTTTGTTCAACTAAAGAAATAAGCCCAGAGAAAATGGGCAATGTGCAGGAATCACCCTGCTACTGAAGAGCACACCAACATTAGAATCCAGCCTACCTTGCCCGGAAGGCCCATTTCTTAGCAATCCACACTACCCTTCCTCCTGGGATATAATAGATTGGGATCTATCCAAACAGTAGCCTTGTGATACCTCAGCTGGTCATTTACTAGCAGAAGAAAGCAAGTACACTACGCAAGTACAATACAACTGTCCTTTGAAGAGCAGTTACAGCCAACGCCAGTGGACTCCACTGTGGAATGTCAAGCTCCACAGAAGACCACAGTGCAGGTGGGGATTCAGTAAGTGACACCATCAAAATGAATTTTCCAGCTCCCACCTGTACATGCATTCTTGATTTTGACTAGTTTGACAGATTCTTCCTTTAAATGAACCGTTACTAAGGAGTGTGCATAAATTTAACATTTTTACATGACTTCCTTTCTCTATTTTTCAAATAGAGACATAAGATGTACTATTTACTTGGGTTTAATGTAATCTAATATGATAAAAAGAGTAAGACTAATAGCTTCCATTAAGTCTGCTGTATTAGAACAGAGACCAAAACAAATGATCAGCAAAGACTAAAGAGTTCATTCTGGAGACCAAACAAAAGTTGTTCCAGAGTAGACTTTCTAGCTTGCAAACTTCAAGAATCGCTCTCTCTGAAGTTAAGTTCTTACAATCTCGCCTCTCTCTGCAGAATCACACATAGAGGCACTCACCAACCAGGACCACGAGCCTGTACTTCTCGTTGGTCTGGCGCCGGTAGGGCGTCACTTCCTCGTACGTGGGCACATCGGCTGTGTCGTACTGGTCACTCTTCTTGCATTCGTACATGGACTTGTTTGTTTTCTTATCTTTTCTACTAAGACGGAAGCTTCTTCTAAAACCAGCTGCAAATACAAAAAATAAAATCTACTTTTAGTAATAAAGATCAAAAAAAGAAACCCCTCAAAATCAAAAAATTTTAAAGCACTCAGTTGGATTCAATCTTATTCTCATCTGACAAGAGATAACAAAAGATACTATACACCTTTACTAAAACAGCAATTTATAAGAGAATCATCTAGCATTTGTTTTTGTAGTTATAACAAATTTTAATCGGGTCCAAATCAGTTTTGTGGGTTTATACTTTAGAAACTTGAGCTAAAAAAATACAATATAGCAAAATGAGGAAGTCAGGAGTTGTACAGTTTATCACAGCATGATTGAGAAAAACATCTTGGATAAGAAAAAATTAAAAGCACTGTAAAACATTAATATAAATGATGATATCTCTCATTCAAAAATACCAGTTATTTTATAGAAATTTTAACAATAAATTATGTATTGTTAAATAAAAAGAAAACTAAGTCAGAGAAGACAGTGCCAAACATGCCTAAACATGACTGAGGCTGCAAACCAGTCTGTCACCAAAGCAAGTTACTTAATTTTTATGAGACTCCACAGGGTGGCGTAAATGACCAAGCCTTGGGTCCTTCTTCTCCTATGGGAATTCTCTACTTTTATAATTTGAAGCCTCGTGATATAGGCCTCCAATTGTGTAGTTGTGGAAATGGTCTCACAGTCTCAATTGTGGCTTATCAATAGGTCATATGATCTTTTACTAAATTAATTTTTGAAATCTTTAAATACTTTAAAAAGCCTTCACCAACTCACTGCTGTTTTTTATAACATGTGGGCTTAAAAGCTTAGGCAAAAGTTCCTTTTCTCGGTCCTTTACATGTTGCTGCATTTTCTGGTTTTATTTTCCTTGCTAGAATAGTGATATTTACCACATACAGCACTCAAGAATTCAGCAAGATGGGCAATCAATCCTCAACCTAACCAACCTTTAAACTCTCTCAAAATCCAAACTTTGAGAGAAAGCAGTTTGGTTTTTAAGACATTATATTCTGTATCAACTCTATAGTATAAAACAAGACACAAGTGTATTTTAAAAATATATTCTCTTTGGAAAGAATATTGATCAAATTGGATAATCAGAAAACTTTTAAAATAGAGGTATTACATAACAAAATGTAAGAACATAATAACTGGTCTATGTAAATTTTAGGGAACATAAAGAAGACAATTATTATCAGTGGATTTAAGAAATTAATAGGATTGACAATAAAGACAATAGCAAAAAACAATTATCAATAACCATGGAGCTACATAACTCACCTTATATATTCATGGTCTAAAAAAACCAAGCACAATGTTAAGAATGGAGTGAGAAAAGTTCATCTGGTAATCTATTTCCATGGCCCACCACGAGTCATTCTGATTTTAAAGACATTTGGATCCACTGAAGGAAAAGGTTTACAAACTTTTTGAAACAGGAAGATAATTTTACTCAAAGCTCTCTTACAAAGGCAATGGGTAAAGAGGACAAAGCAAGCAAAAAATGGATGAAACCCTATGGTATTTTACTCCAAAAAGATGAGATCTGAGGAAAGTAACAAGAGCAATGTACAATTCCCGTCTTACCATGAGGAAAAGATGTGTGAACGCTGTAATCACACACACACAGAGGTCAAATTTCTATACAGAGTCAGAGGGAAAGCTGTGTATTATTTTCTTCATTCTCATTTTCTAGTCAATTGAGAGAAACTCATGAGAACCTGGAAATAGGATCCTTCTATCACAGAGCCCTCTCAACATTATGCCAGACTTCACTGCTCCCACTGCTTCAGCGCAGTATTTCTCTCAATTTATCCCATCCCAGCCCTTCCCCTAATCGGTTACCTATGCCTGCTGGTCCAGATAGGAATCCAGTAGAAAAATGGCTTAGCACTTCCGGCTTAGCACAAAACTGACACATCTGTACCAGTAACTTTCCTATACTGCTATTTCATGGTGTTCCAGTGCCAGGTTCCCACAGTCCGTGCTTCATGGGAGGCAATTATAGGATAAGCAAGTAGAAATTCCTGGTATGGAGAGAGGTTTTTTCCTCTAGTCACTACAAACTTACAGCACAGGAATGGACTAACTGGGACATAATGCCTCATCCAAAGCAAATGAAGACCAAAAGCAAAGACTTGGAATCTTTCTGGTCCAGAATCCCATTAAGTCCCAAACTTCAGTGTAAGCGCTTATCTAACCAAGCCTTACAATGAACTGAAGTTTTTACTCTCGTCATAAACAACAGATACAGAGGGGACAAAGAGAAGGTCATCATGTGACTACTGTGGACATTGGAGACAGGGCCTCGGCCCACAGATCCTAGGGGATGAGCACCATAGAGCATCTGGTACCGAATAGGGGCTGCCAAAGTGTGCTGCATTGAAGTAATTTTAATATGCAACCACAAAAACCCTACAATCACGCCAGTTCCTTTTTTTAAAATGTAAATTTCATGAAAGAAAGCAGGACACACTTGAAGTATTTTCACAAGAGAAAATTCCAGAAGCAGACAAAATGACAATACACTGCATTCACAAAGGCTCTGAGCTGAAAGGAACTTGGGCGACCACCAGGCCCACTACATCCCTGCTCCCTGATGGCTCTGAGGCCATGGCCATCTTATTCCCATCAGTTTTCCAGATGGCAACTGGCCAGCAAGTGAACTCCCACAGATTATGAAGCTCGACTGCCATGACCCTTTGTACTCCATCGATAATACAGGAAAAGAGGCAATTAGGTGGCCACAGACATTTGCCCACACAGCATATCACACGTGCCAGAGAGCAAAGACCAGGGCTCGGTTAGCCTATAGGTCCTGTAGGTGACTTACCCGCCAGTTAGTGACTTGCCAACATTTAAAAACTTTTCTAAGGCTCATTTCTCACAACATTAAAATGAGGATAAAGACAGTACCTGCCTCACAGGGCTAAGGGTTAAATAATTTACGTAAAGCCTTTGGCCCAGTATTTGCCGTAAGGCGACACCACTTTCGGTAGCAGTAGGTTAGTACACACAAATGTCTTCAGCTGACTGCATGTACCTTCAGGACCAGAACACATCACAGCCCCCTGTACCCTCATACCACACAGTAAAGCAAGAAAGGAAAAATCAAATGAAGGGCTTTATAAATTTTTAATTGGTTAATGTTGTGAAAGAGACACATATTAAAATTAAAGCCAGATTTAAAGATGTTAAATATTTAAAGAAACTCTTTAAGAAGCAAGGTATTAAAGCAGTGAGTAAACACAACAAATTATCATTTCATTTTTTTAGATACACTTTCTACAGATGTATTTGTTACTATATTTAAAGAGCATTCTTACCTTCTGTCTTCCATACTTATGATCCTTTCCTCCCCTGATCCACAAAAACCTTTATGTTCCGTATTTACATCACACATTATACATGTACATACACACACACGTGTACACACATATATGTGTACACACATATATTAGAGAAAGGAAACAAGAAAAATTCACCACCCAGAGCAACCAATAAGACAACTAGAATAGAGAATATGATAAAAGGTCTGAAATGCAGAACACTTACTTGTGATTATTTCTCAGACCAAAACAGAAACAAAACAGCTTTTTTTCCTAGGACCTACCCTCTGTGAGTAGTAGGTGATGGCAAACTTAGGCATGTTGTTCAAGAGACTTTTTTTAATTTAAATTTTATTTTTATATTCACCATACAATGACAACCCCCTTATTTTAACACCAATCCCTCCTTTCCCCGTCCCCCACTCCCCATAGAGTGTCTCTGGTTCATAGTTGTTTGTTGATTTTGATATTTTCTTTCTTATAGTTATTCTTTTTCCTGGTCCCTTATTTAAGTTTTCTAGATTCCTGCTATAAGTGAGACCATCCGGTATTTTTCTTTTTCTTTCTGGCTTATTTCGCTGAGCATGATCCCTTCCAGCTCCAACCATGTTGCTGCAAATTGCATGTGTTTATCTTTTTGGAATGCTGAGTAATATTCCATTGTGTATATGTACCACATCTTCTTGAGCGAGTCATCTATTTTTGGGCATTTGGGTTGTTTCCAAAGCTGAGCTATTGTAATTAGTGCTGCTATAAACATAGGGGTGCAGGTGCTCTTTGGAATTGATGTTTCTGTGTCCTTTGGGTAAATACCTAGGAGTGGAATTGCTGGATCATATGGAAGCTCTATGTTTAGTAGGTCAAGAAATCTCCACACAGCTCTCCATAGTGGTTGGACGAGTTTGCTCTCCCACCAACAGTGCAGGAGAGTTCCTTTTTCTCCACAAGCTTGCCAACATTGTTGTTGCTAGTTTTTTTAATATGTGCCATTCTCACTTGTGTAAGATGGTATCTCATTGTAGTTTTGATTTGCATTTCCCTGATTACAAGTGATGCTGAACATTTTTTCATATGCCTGTTGGCCATTTGCATTTCCTCTTTAGAGAAGTTTCTTTTAAGCTCTTCTGCCCATTTTTTGACTGGATTATTTTCTTTGTTTTTGTTGAGTCTCATCAGCTTGTTCAAGAGACTCTTAACATTCAAACTTCACAATATAAGAAGTGATATGTCAGCACATCTTCATTAAATCTAAGTTTCAGGAAAAGTAAACTGTCAGGAAAAGGGGTTAATCATTTCTTGCTTTCAGATCTTATTTCGTTCTCTTATTAAAAGAACGTGTACTTAAACTGAAGGTAAGCAGAGGCCTTTTTTCAGGCAAATGTGAATAACCCTGAACCTACTTATATCTAGTTTATTTTCAATGCAAAAGTCTTAGCAAGAGTTGGCTTTTAAAAGAAGGGAAAAGACACAGTAATGAGAAATTTGGAGAAGGGAACAGTTTCTATATATATTTTCCTTATATTTCACATTTTTATAATTTATAATTGGCTCAACATTTTTATGAACAGGCTTTTTCCAGGGCACTTACCCACAGCTGCTAGATTTGCATTTTTTAAGGGAATGGCAGGCTGACTTTATTATAATAGGGAAGACTTTGTAGAAAGACTGCAGTTGCAGGT